CCCCCCCCCCGACATATTAAGCTGTCACATTTTCTCAAAATGGTGCAAAACAAAAATGTGTACAGCACACTGTTAAAACGACTTTTTATCCAACAGAGAAAACCAGAGTCATATCATCCAAGTGGAATAAACACTAGGGGAAGCATGTAAACACAATGCTTTTCACACAAAGTTGTTTTCAAACAGAATAAATGTTTTCAAATGGAATAAATAATGAAACAACGCAGCAACAGTTCTCCAGCATTTATTAAAAAGTGCCCTTGCAAGCATGGAATAAAGATTTGACATCTTCTACCACGTCATCTCTCCCTCGCCACATACATCCTTGTCTTACATAAACGTAAGATCAGTAAAACAACTTCTTTCATAAGCTACTGAGAGGGGTGGGGGTGGTATTAGCGTTCCTTGATTTAACATTTATCTATGAACGTTGGTATATTTTCTAAGTTGAAAACAAGATGGGAGAATCTCTAGAAAAAGGGGGGAAAGATAGACTGAATATTGTCAATTTTATTTTAGTTGTGACATGAACTTTTTTGGGCTAAAAAAGTTGAAAGTTAAGAATTCAAAACAAAATGACAGTTCTCTTTTTTTCATAGCACACTTACAATGACATCTGTATAAAAAGAATCCTAAAATTATTTCAAGAACTATGAAATAACTATTTTTTGTCATTTTCACTTCTTCATATTGCAACACGTCAAGTTTTACAAGTTTTTCTCATTATAATGGCGACAGCATGCACTTTACCCAAATCTGTTTTTAAGTTTTTCTAATAGGTGGCAGCACATACTAAGCCACCTAAATCAACTGAAGATGGCAGAACAAGTAATAACAAGACACTTCCTCAACCACTTGGTCCATATGAAAAGCATGAATAATAGTATACTCCTGTTCTATATGAACGAAACACATTTTTGCATGATGATATGGTATGTATTAAACAGCACAGTCTACATCCACCTCACAAATATCCTTAGAAAATCTTTTCACTCGTAAAATCCATCTTTCTTTTTTCCATGTAATCCAATAGGAAGTCCTCTTTTATATTCATCTTTCCCGTGACTCACATCTCATTGTTTCTATCCTCAATCAATATCAGTCTGTTTGCTTCACTGCATCCATCGTGCATTTTCCCCGTTACAAAGTTCTTGTAAATGAAGTCGCTGTATTCTTGAAATGCCAATTCAGTTTCTTTGGATAGTTTGTAACCCAAGAAGAACAGTTTGTGCTCAGGGCCACAGCTGCTATGAAGTGTTCATATTTAAGGCCACTACTTTTAAAGAGTAAGCCCTCGTCACTCACCAGATATCCCTTGCATCCACAAATCGATACTCTTCACAACCTTCCTCTCCTTGGCATCCAAATTGAACTCTCCCATGCTGAAATGTTAATCACATGCCTGGGCAAGTCTATTCTGCAGTCCTAGGGGTGCCAGATACACTCCTATGATGGCAGTCCATGCATACTTCTCCAGCAGTGTCTTCTCAGCCCTTGTATTAGCATGTTTGTTCATGTATCTGTCCAGCACATGAAGTGTTTTACACGAAATACCCATAATACAATGGAGGTCAATTGGCCAAATCAAGTCTTCCTTAACCCCCGTGCCTTCCCATGCTGCCATAGTGTGGAGTATCTATAGGGGGCACCACAAGAGTTCAAAGCACCAAGATGAGATAAAATAGGCATCCATGATCTAAAAATGTCTGCAGTGAACAAGACCTAAACTCCACTGGCTACTACTGGGAGATACTGAGCAATGGCGAAGATTGTGACCAGCAGTGAAGATATGGCAAGTTCAAGATCAATATCAAGGTGAAATGTTTCTACGTTCTTTAAAATATTGCAACTGTTTGTTCTTACGCTGATCCATCTTCTCTTCAACCGTCTGCACTGTGAATGCACCATCGAAAGCTCTGTCATCCTTCAATTCGCTGGTAACTTCTAAAATAAAAGTAATTACCACTGGCTGAGATACAGTACATGGACTGGACACTGGATGAGTTGTCTTCACATTATCTTTAAGTTCATACTCAAACTTAACTGTGTCCATTCATTGTCCTGAAGCAAACACAGTATATATCGGCCCACAACTGAAGGTGTCAGCACATGTAGCTATTTGCCCACAACTGTAGATGTCAGCACATGTATATTTCTGCTTACAATTGAAGGTGTCAGCACATGTATCTATCTGCCCACAGCTGTAGATGTCAGCACATGTATCTATCTGTCCACAACTGAAGGTGCCAGCACATTTATACATCTACCTACAACTGTAGGTGTCAGTATATGTATCTATCCACCCACAACTGTAGGGGTCAGCACATGTATCTATCTGTCCACAACTGAAGGTGCCAGCACATTTATACATCTACCTACAACTGTAGGTGTCAGTACATGTATCTATCCACCCACAACTGTAGGGGTCAGCACTTGTTATCAGCCCACAATTGAAGATGTCAGCACATGTATCATCTTCATTCAAACAACTGTAAACAATCTTATGCTATCCGTGCACTTGTGACTGAAGCCTTGAGTGGTAATATTGTGCTACTGCCCTAGATAGAATCACATTGACATCGAGTCTGCCTTGTCTCTGAAATAGAGAAAAAAACTACAATTAGTGATGGAATAATCAACAATCACATATCACTTTATAATTGTCAATCAAGACAATTTTCAACTAAACAATCATCTTAGCTAAAGCAGATTTATGAAACCAGTAGGTCATGAGCTGTTATCATTCCTTCACTTCAAATTATTCACTGTCATGTACATCAACATTACCTTCTAAGTACATAACTTAAAATCTAAAATTGGGTACCTAAATATCTTGTCATATGCTGTTAAAATTTTCCACCAAGTTTCATCAATATTTTTCATCTTAAGGGAAAACGGCAAGTCCAGTAATGCAAAGCTATGAACAATGTCATTAACTGCATCAACTTCAGCAACAAATGAAAAATGAAGATAAAAAGCCCAAAAAAAAAAACTTACTTGGATTTCATTGCTACAGGCTTAAGATAATCATGTTCTGATAGCTGAAGAACCTCTGGACGAAGCTCCTTTTTATACTGTAAACAGGTACGAATAAAAGACTTGGCCTCGTTGCTGACTGGAGGCTTGGAGGGGAACTGAGGCTCCGTTGCTTTTAAGATTGTGTTCTCTTCTAGAATGGCAGCTTGTGACAAGTTGTGACCAAATGGCTGAAAGAATAAATAAAAAGAGCTCTTATTAAATGTAAAATTAGTCTTTTTGAAGCAAAAGCAATATTTTAAGACCCAAATGAAGAAGAAAATCAATTGTCTCTAAAAGTTTAAGTAAGCTGAAATACCCAGTTGAAGAGATAGGGTAACCTGTAATTCACTAGGAATGTTCTACTGGAGAAAATATGAGAGGATATCTGTGCACCACATTGTTATTCTAAGGGGTCAGCCATTTTTATCATCATTTCACCAAGCCTACAAAGGGTAGACTTTTTTCAGACCCCCTCATCCCCCTTCCAAAGTACAAAGTAAACAGTAAAAATTTAAAATGATGACCTTCGTAAGCAATATGAATCATCATTTTTATTATTTTTCAAGTGTACAGAAACATAAACCCAGCATATGGTTTGCAGACTTGTAAAAATGATGTTGATAAAAATGGATGACCCCTAAGAAGATAAAAGCTGGGTCTTCCTCTTTTAGTTTCCATGACACTTTATCTTGAGAAATTCTTACAGAAGACAGGAGAGAAGAAAACAGATAGATTACCTTTTTGCCATACAGACACTGATAAAAGATCACCCCTACAGACCAGACATCTACTTTTGAGGAAATTTTTGGTGGTTCACGACCAACAACAAAACACTCAGGAGGTAAGTACCTGTAACATATCAATAGAAAAATATCAATCTGGCAGCAAAACTCAGGAACAAGCTTTATCAATGTTTTATCATTGGCTGAAGGTGTCTGGATATAGATATGGGAATATTTTAATTGTCTTTGCTGTTGTATTGAAGACATAATTATTGTAACAGATTGGTGAAATTATCTAGTCATCATTTCAGTGTACAAAATTTTAGTGTGCAGGTGCAGACTTAATTACTAGAGAATGCTGCTAGAGGTGAAAAGGTCCAAAGAGATGGGTAACTGACCAATATGTCCCAGCGCCCTGTGAAGTGAGATCCATGCCATGGTCTGGACTGTAGGTGTCGCCTTCCATCACCTTGCTCAAACCAAAATCTGTGATCTTGATTTCCCCACTCACCATGCCGAGTCCTAGTAGAATGTTTCCTAAGGGAAGAGAGAGAAAACAGCACTAGAGATCAAAACAATCAACTACAGATGTTAAAATGACCAATGAAATGCAAATAAGTTGTAATTAGAAACAAAAATCAACTCTTTCACAAGATCCTGGTTTAAGGTCACAGTGTACCCACCAGGTTTGAGGTCATAGTGCACCTACCAGGTTTGAGGTCACAGTGCATCTACCAGGTTTGAGGTCAGTGTACCTACCAGGTTTAAGGTCACAGAGTACTTACCTGGTTTAAGATCATAGTGTATGACTGGCGGCGTGATCGTGTTCAGGTATTTCAGGGCGCTGACTGTCTGCACTATTATAGAGCGGGCTTCCCTCTCAGGTATACTCTTACTCTGCTTGAGATAGAAATCCAAGTCATGGCCATCACAGTATTCTAGAACTGTACAAAATCTGAAAACAAAAAGAAACATGCCTATTTATATGAAAATAATCTAGTTCCTGAAGCTATTCAGAATCCCAAACTATATAATTTTCACGGCAAAGTGCCAGAAATGTCACCTAAAGCTCACAAGTTTTCAGTATCATAAGAATGTTTTATTGACTCTGAAATGTTGCATACAGACTGAATCAAGCTATTTTCCTCTCACAAAAAAGTTTTTTTTTTTCATCACACAGCTGCATATTTTAAGATTACTTACGAATCAATATCAATTTCAAACACGTCGTAGAGTTTTACTATTCTTGGGTGATCCAGTGTCTTATGTATATTGTATTCCCGTACAGCATGTCTGCAAGACAAAAACCAGGTAGGTGACATATATTTAGGCTTAGCCAAGTGCAAAATTAAACACTGGACTAAAAATACAAATTTCAATCTTTCACTGACTTATTCTAAATCTCATACACTGACTGAAATTGAAATATTTTTTTGCAAATCCTAACAGTCAGTAAGCTAAAAGTACAATCACTTAAGGTTTTCTTGGGGTTTTTGTACAAACATTAAGGGACAGAAACAGAAAATATCATATTTCTAGTTCTCAAACACAAGGAGGAAATTTGAATCTCCATAAGCTTCTTTCCGTTTGTGTTAAAGAATCCCCCATCAACACTTACTTTATATAGTTCACTTTTTTGTCATCTTTCCACTCCCTGTTCAGCTGGTGAATCTTACAAGCCACATCCCTCTGCTCTTTCAGGTCAAATGCCTAAAACAAATATTAGTAATTATCAATACAAGGACATATCAGTAAAATATGCTAAGTGAGCTGAAAATAATGAAACGTTTGTTGCTTTCTAACCAAGGCCATTTTTTAGTAAATTACAGAGCAGATTCAACCTGTGCAACAAATGAACTTTCAAAATATGGCAAAGTAAATCTACAAGCCAAATGTCGTATGTAAACTCAAGATATAAACTACTCAATTTAATCACTTCATATTGATATATATTTTTAACCCTAAGAATGATGCCATCAAAGTGTACATCCATGAATAGAGTCTAGCTATGAAATGAATGTGTAAAGCTTTATGAATTACAACTACAGAGAAAACCAAATTACTTCCTTGTTGTTGGAAAGAGGATAAATTTAGGTAGTAAAGTCTTCTTAGAGATACCAAACTTTTTCACTATTAGATTACTAATATTCTGATTTTCATTTTTCTTTTCTTTGTAGATTTTTTTTTTTTTTTTTTTGCTACATACGGAAAACATTTCACAAATGCTGTTATTTTTTTAGGTTTATGTATTTATTAATATTGTGAATAAAAAATCTTTTGTAACCTTTTCTTCAGGTAAGACTATATTTTCTTTTGAGACTAATCAAATGGAGGTTTAATTTCTATATTTGTTTGAAGGGTGATAGTTTTCCTAGTGCAGGGGCGTACAAATGCATGTTTGTACACCCCTGCGTGTGTGTGTGTGTGTGTGTGTGTGTGTGTGTGTGTGTGTTTGTGGGGGGGGGGGGGGAGGGAGACCTCACCTTGTGAACCTCACTAAACCCCCCTTTTCCTATAAGGGTGAGCAGGAGGTACCTATCGTTTAATACTGGGTGTTCTTTGAATCTGAAAATAAACAATCAAATGTATATCAACTTATTAACATTTTATAAAACTTCTAGACACAGCTGTTAAACTTAATGGCATACAATATAATACATTTTCAAACAGAATCCTGGTCCCGTTTGTGGTACTATTCTTTGTCTTGTCCAATCGCTCAAAATGCTGTGTCCAGGCCTGCCTTCTAGCTAATTTTTTTAATACCATTCCATGTGAACAAAAATCACTGCCATCTCACAGGAGCTTGTGTGCACGTGATCTCGTTATATAATGAGATAAAGCTGACACAATCGCTGAATTTCTCCTCTGGTGCTGTAACTATTTTATACCTGGAGTTATCTTCATTGTGAATGCGTTTGAGTTCTCTGATATGTAAATTGCGCTCCCGTTCTAATTTTTCCAGCTCGGATTGTAAGTCAGTGTCCTCTTTTTTAAGTGCTGCTTGCCGCAGCTTCAGAATCTCGTCCTGTTCGTAAAACCCGCCGAGAGATAATCTGGAACAGTAACATAAAAACAATCAAGATCTTATTGCATATTTGTTACATCCATTATTTTCAACAGTTTTTAAACTTTCTCAACAAATTTGGGGAAAAAAAGCATTGAGAATACTGGGATTTTTTCAGTTAAAACAAACACATCAAGTTTTATCTACCAAAATATTTGAAAACAGAAAACCCCATACATCTGCTGAACAGTATCATAAGCTAATTTCCATAATAAATGCCATAGTTCATCTAATATCAAAGCCTATTTCAGCAAATACAACCAACTTTTCCCAGCTTAATGTTAAGATTTGACTGTAAAACTCACTGAGATTTTTCGGCAGGCTTTAAGAATCCATCTTGACTTTTGCTCGATCCTCTGCTAGTCCCTCCTGTCGAAGGTTTTCTTTTCATTAACAATTTCCGCTGTCGGTCTATTTCTTCTCGCTCTGCTCCTATCCTTTCCTGACGCCTGTAAACAAACAAACACTTTATTTTCTAACAAACACATGTAAATTAAGTCGTTTCTTATTGAACCCAGACTCTTATGTAAACTATTGTGGGGCAAGTATAAGTATATTGAGTAACCATTGTGCCTGAGACACATCGTAGACCACTTAAGCCCCTAGGGTACTGGACTTTTGATGCATTTTAGACAAAACCAGTTTGAGTTTATCTGGGTACATCTCCCACAAAAACTGACCAACAGTTACTTTAGTTTGAAACCTTCAGATTAATCCCAAAATAAAGTGGACCAAAAGGCACAAGTTTTCCTGTAAAACCAGTCCCTAGTGCAGGATGTTATACTTTGGTCGAAAAGAGACACATTTTATACAAAACCAGTTTGGGTTTATTTGCTCACTTTATCACATCTGTAAATGCATATCCGTCCACCCAGTTTTCCACGAAGGACGTCCCTTGGCGCTGGGTCTGGAACTGGCCCAGCCGCAGCCTGTTCTCCATTGCATGTTGCCGCCTGTCCTTCTTCTCCATATCACTCTGAAATGTCAAGGTTGTATTAAAAAGAAGCAAAGGTCATATCAAAGTGAGGCCAAGGTCAGAGCAATGGAAAGATCATGGAAGTGACAAGATAAACTTCATGCCATTTTTGGTCACTTAAATATTTTTGGCATTAATGTTGATTTTTCCATTCAATGCTTTTAGGATGATAAGAAAGACTTAGAAGGAGATGATTAGAAGGATGATAACAAAGCTGACTTCCTTCTTTTCTTTCTCATGTATCCCAAAGGGCCAACATTAAATGTACAATGAATTTTATACATCAACAATTTTTTCTCTTATTCCTACTTATATCTGCTTTGCACTAAATCAAGGTAATGAGCGAGGACGACGTTACCTTTTCTATTAGCAGTTTCTTGGTCTTTTCTAGACATCTGTTTTGTGTCTCTTTGTATTTGTCTATTAATTTTTGCTGGGCTGTGAGCTGCCTTCTTAGTTCATCAATTTGCTGAAATAGATATTACACAATGAATAATAATTTTTAGAATAATTTTGTTGAAAAAAAAAATGAAATATTGAATGTTGGGAAGCATATATATCTGGACTAAATAAAAAGCTCCCCTCATACACAAAAAGGGCGAAAATTCTGCAGCAATGTCCTTATAATTTCATCACCTAATTTACAAACACATCAGTGAACAAAACTATACCATTTGAGCAGACTCTAAAACATACAGGATAACTTTAACATACCCTTCACACATCTACGAAAAATGAAGGTATCACGTTTTATATTTTCTCAACAGTATGTGCATCTGTTTTCCAATTTATTCTTTGTTACAAGAATCTTTTCCATACCTTTGAATATTCCTGTATTTTTTGATCCCTCACATCATTTGGCGGGGGCTGAGCGTTCATGTTCCCTAGTTGGCTGTGACTGGTGTCCGGCTAAAACAAAGACAATGATCTTCATATCTATATGACCAAGGACAATTAAATAATATCCTTGTCAAATCGACTAATAGAAAATCTGACTGGACAGATGAATTAAAACATAATGATTTCCATTACTGCATGTTTGCAATAAACATTAGGGGTGAAAAGTTTTGGCTCCCAAAAAAGTTGGAATTCTGCCATAACTGGAAAAATCTAATGACTGTTTAGGCACTGACACCACAAAAAAATTCAGAGAAGAAAAGTGTGCATCTCTCAGTGTATTTCCACTTACAAATAAAATACTGATGTTTACCTGTACTGGCCTCATTGAAGAGTCGTTATTTTGGCTTCCCGCATTTGGAAACATCGACTGAAACTCCTGTGAGTTACTGTTGTTGCTCCCCTGCATTGGAGACTGGGCAAACATGACGGGGGACGCAGGGTACTGGAAATACGGGAAGAAATAATCACAGTCATTAAATACTAACTGTATCGTCAAAAGGGAAGTTTTCAACAATAAACCAATGTAAGAGTGCCCAATGTTTGACTATTTTTAATTCAATAATATTTCTTATACCATTTGTAATGTTATGGGCGGCCAAAAGAGCAAAAATTCATGTCGTCGATTCAGTTATGTTTCGTCGATTCACTGCCTTCCCATCGATTCAGTTTCAAGTTTAAACGATCCTGGCATAAATTCAACATCTACTTTCGTCAATTCAATTGTCAAACATTTCTCATCTATGGTGTATTAAAACCAATGCTGTCACTATTTTCGTCGATCGTGTAACTAATCTCGTCGATCGTCAAACTGTTTTCGTCGATCGTGTAACTATTCTCGTCGATCGTCTAATCTCGTCGATCGTGTAACTATTCTCATCGATCGTCTCATCGATCGATCGCCAGAGGGCGCTGCGGTAGCAACACGTGCTTCTGTCTGTCAATCACGCGGTAATTTTTAACTCGGCCAGCCATGGTCAGAGTTAAGCACAACTAGAAAATAATGTCCCTACAACCGAATGTCTTTTAATTATTAACAACTAAAATTGAAATTGTTGAGAAAATGTTCTTATTTCACTAGCAATCATTTTGTTGTCTGCCATTTTGATAGTCATGTGATAGGCCAATGTGCTACCGCAGCGCCCTCTGGCGATCGATCGATGAGACGATCGACGAGAATAGACGATCGATGAGAATAGTTACACGATCGACGAGATTAGACGATCGATGAGAATAGTTACACGATCGACGAGATTAGACGATCGACGAGAATAGTAGTGACGGCATTGGTTTTAATACACCGTAGATGAGAAATGTTTGACAGTTGAATTGACGAAAGTAGATGTTGAATTTATGACAGGATCGTTTAAACTTGAAACTGAATCGATGGGAAGGCAGTGAATCGACGAAACATAACTGAATCGACGACAGGATTTTTTGTCCTTTTGGCCGCCCATATAATGTTATTGTATTTGATCATGTACAAAGAGAGGAATATATGACATAGTATCATTTACAGCTCTGACTGAGATTACCATCACCAGTAGCTACATGACTCGGTCTTTTTTTTTTTTTTTTAATGCAGATGACCCAAGACCCAAATTAGCCAAGACCCACCAGGGGTGTGAGTTCTTACCATTGGAATGGGGGAGTTCCGTGTTCCCCGACCTGGGCTTCCTCCCTAAAATAATAAATAAAAATAATGAGAAATAATAGATGAACAAATCACAGCTTTTACAAATTGTACTTGTCTTACCCCCTTTTTTTCTTCTTTTTTCACTCTACAAGTTCATTTTCAAAAGTGAGAATTTGATGATGTCTATTTAAATAATTAAATGAATAACAGTATAATATACAGTGTGTCCACATTAATTTCATGACAGCTTACGAGAACTTTTTCTTTTAATTTCCAATGGACAAAGTGAGACGCTCTGCTTATATCTCATGGTAATCAAAACATTTTTTTCTGAAAATGACCAGTAATCTCTTGCTGACCTCAAATTTTTAATACTTAATACTTATGTGCTACAGGGCCAAAATCTTGACACTAGATGTTAATAATCTTCAATTTAACTTACCCTAAAATATTCATTTATCTTCTTGGCACTATCTGCCTTGCCTTGCTTTCCTTGCACTGAAAGTGGGAGAAAAAATTTAAGATTTTTTTCGACAAATTCAGATCTTGTTATTTAACTGATGACAAGTAATTTAAAAAAAATTTTTTACATCTAATTATATATTATCATTTTTCTTACATTTTGTATCATTATTTACCCAGTTCGAGTGTGTGAGCGTATGTGTACATGCATGCATGTGTGTGTAATATTCGCTCTGAACAAACCTCCATCTTCCGCACTGGCATTTTTCCTTTTTCTTTTCCTCTCTGTTGGTGTTTTGGCCTTCTCAGGAGTCTAAACATTGGAAAACAAAAGATTATTATTGCAAATTCCTTAATCCCCCTGTCTCCTACAATTGTGCACATTAAGGTAGGGTAACTTCCTTTTTCAGCTGTTGAAAAAACAAAAACAGGAAAAAGGACTACAGCTGGTGGATCGATCTCTAAATAATAATTATAAATACAGTGCTTTGGAGGAGATATCTATAGAAAAATGAACAAGTTTTCATCGTTTTGATATTAATGAGTCTAAGAGTACCTTTTTTCTATCATATAATCTGGACAACAGTTTGAAAAAAATAATTTTGTAACCATCAGATTACTCTCTGCTAATATAAAATCATTCAGCTCAATAGGCTCTTTAAACTTAAAAATGAACAAGGCAGCAAAGCTGTCAAATGTACAGACAAAAAGCAGGAAATAACAAAAAAAGGCTGTCAATTCTGATGCAAAAGTACATTATGTTAAACTGCAAATTCAACATCAAATTTTAATTATGCTCAACAGGTAATACCAATGTAAGTAAAATGTGTAACAAGCATAAGGCTTCAGGCCCATGTGAGTTCAAGTTCGCACTTTGAAAATGTATAACTTCCAGAAAAAGAAGTCAATTAGACTGCTTTTACAACTCAGGCTGCATTTTAGTCCTGTATTTCTTTTTTGAAAGTTTGGCAATCATAAGTAACATGCTTTTCCCATAATGGTCATCATGGCAGCAGCACCCTAAATTGGGTTTTCTTCTATTCTAATGCAATATTATATAATGGTTAACAGCATAATGACAATCAATTTTTAATAATAAAATATACGTATCATGGATTTTCAGAAAATATGACTAGCATGGGTCTTCAAGCCTGTGGAACTTAAAAGTCACACCTTGAAAATGCCAAAATGTGAAAAATTAAATTTTCACAAAAAAATAAATAAATAAATAAATAAATAAATGTCCAATTTCTTCCATTCCGAGATTCTGAACATAGTGAATGATTGAATCTGTCAAACTGCAATGATATGAGTTTATTTCCATTTTTGACACTTTATTACACAATACACGATAACAAGTTTACCATCATTTTTACATAATCAACTAACAATGTTGTAAAGATGCAGGAAATGCCAAACAAACACTTTTATGTATCTTATTAATTAAATTATGAAACTGTTAACATGCCTAAGAATTGAATCTCAGGAAATGTGAAAAAACGACATTTCTTTAATATAATGGCCCGATTATGCTGATTTTCGAACTCAACCTGCGTTTTAGTAAGATTGACCACTCCTGTGAGTTTAATGACAATTGGCCTATCTGTTTTTCTTATATTGTGTTTACAGTGTTGCATATATGCTGAAAAATGAAAAAAAGCATAACTACTAAAATAGTGGCCCAATTATGCCGATTTTCGAACTTGATCTGCGTTTTAGTAAGATTGATTACTCCTGTGAGTTTCATGACAACAGGCCTAACGGCTTTCCTTAAAATGTGTTTACAGGGTTGCATATATACTGAAAAGTGAAAAAACAGCATAACTTCTACAATAATGGCCCAAATATGCTGATTTTCAAACTTGACCTGCGTTTTATGAATATTCATCAGCTCTGTAAATATAAAGCCAAAAAGTAAAACTGCCCTCCACTTATCGTGTTTACAAGGAAAGTGCACGGCGCCGGCATCGGGGACGGCGACGACAGACGCAGGTGATGGCAATATGTACAGACACATCTGTGTCTGTACATAAAAAGAAAATGCAGGATGTTATGGCCTACTTCAAAAATTAAGTCCTAATAGGTAACCAGCTTGTGCTCACAGCAACGCACACACAAATTCTTTTTTTAAAATAAAGTTAATCATAAAATAACATGCTAAACTGTTGAAGTTCTCTTGGTAAACAAACAAATTGACCCATTTATAGCATGAAAAAAGCAGTTCCAAACTCAACACAAACATTTCCAGTAGCATTTCCAGTGAAGTTGTGGCAGCCCAACTAAAAATGTAAAGGAGTGTTCAGACAAACCCACTGCACTAGCTGGATCGATCCTATTCTGCAGTCCCACTTTTAAGTCAATGTATCAACTGTAGTCAATGTAATCAGCTAAATTGTCTGGTAAGCCTCTTAGACAGGCAAGAGGGTAATTAACTGAGTGCTCAACTCTTGGAAGCTCTTTCACTCGAGGAGGCATTTCAGACAATTAAGCTGATTACACTGAATGCACTTTAGGGAGAATCCCCCTCAGAGTTGGATGGATCTAGGTAGTACGCTGATTTAGACTGTGTGATTATCACTTCTTAGAGTGCATTCAGAATACGGCAGACTAACAGATTCACAGATCAAATGTGGCCGACCCACTTGAATGCTTGTTGCATCATCCCCGTGGGGTATCTATTAAGTGTTTAGTGTCAAGCTTTTTAGTGGGTCGCCATATTTGTTCCGCGGACCTGTAAGTCCGCTGTTTTATATGCGCTCTGATAATGTATAGCCAATCATATTGCCACTCCTAAATTTAAACTCAGTCAAACTGCTTTTAGTAAGACTAATTCTCTATGGTTAGAAATCTTGATTACAGTCAGCATAGATGGAGAGCACTAAGATAGGCTGTCACAACTCAACTGTGAATGCATCTTTTGAGCAGAATCAGCATGCGGGAGTTGGAAACACACACATAAAACACTTCAAGCTCAGCTCATGCAAGTGTTATTTCAAATTCAGTTGAATAAATGACAAGGATATTTTCTAATCCTTTCCAGCATTAATAAATATTTAAAAGGCAAGTGATGAGCTCAGTGAATAAAATACACTTTAAAAAATCTTTTTTTGGGGAGAGGGTGGGTAAAATCAAAGGTGACAGGTTTATGTTCAGCGTTCTGTTATGTGGGCAAGAGAAATGAGAAAACTTCATGGTATAAACACCCAACATAATTTCTCTTTAACCATTTTTCAATGTGGCACAAAAGAGGAGGAGGGGAATGAGCTATAATAGAGATCACAATCAGAAACGACATAAAACACAATTAAGAATACACTGGAGTGTGCTGTTTACCTGTTGTCTAATTTCAGGAGGGGGCGGTGAAGCAAACGGGAGACTGCCCTGGTCCTGAGGAGAGAGAGAGATTATAACAACATTTTTCAAATTACAAACCGGGAGAGATATCATCAACTGATCAATTTAAATATTATGATATGAAGTGTCCGAAAATCAATTTTTATTTTTCAGATGAGGGACTGTACCAAACATAAAAATATCATGGAAAAATAAATTGCAACAAATTCCCACTATCCCATGGTGCACTACTTCAGACTTCACAGTCCAGAGGTGGGTGAAAAATAAATATACAACGCATATTTACTTTCCAACTTCTGGCTTCACTCTAGAGCCAGTAATGAACTGACATTGTATTGGCTCATAAGTCCATGATAAGCAGCAATTAACAAGTGCCCATTTCTTCATCATTATCTAGAGTAGCAGCCTAGTTGTTTTTTGTACAAATATAGGAGGTTTGAGGTGGGGGTGGGGATGAAACTAAGCAAGAGCAGCAAATAGTGAAGCAAAGAAGATAGAAGTGCCCAAGCTTTTTTTTCTAAAGTGGAAGCATCAATAAAATCCAAAACAATCACTAAAGCAAAGCATATCAAGATATGTTACCTAGCGTCTTTAATTCATCATATATCTTTAGGACTAATATCTACATCACAGTTCTACAATGTTACAATACAGCTCAGCTCACAAGCACATCTACTGTACATTTCCTCAAGGTAAAGCATGAACAACAGTTGAGGCAAGTTTAAATGCAATAATAAATCGATCGGCCAGCAATATCCTTCTTTTTTTTCAGTGCCAAAAAAAGCCGCTTTCATCCACCGGTAGTCTTACAAGGCTGCACAATACCAAAACATCTCACAATAGACATTTCATTAAAAAAAAAA